AGCCTTCTTTGGTGAGTTGCTCTTGGAGACCTCATCCCCATCCTCCTCAATCAAATCCAGGGCTTGAACATTTAGAGGAGGGAACTTGGCCCCAGTAGCAACTTCAGATACTCTCTCTGTAACCTCGGCCTCGGTCTATTTCTTGTCTCCGGTCTCCTCATTGTCGGCCTCTTTTGCTTCCTCGACCTCATTCTAAAATTGATTAGGAGAGAAAGGGAAAGGGACATTAAGTTGACTGATGTCATGGAGGAGTGAGTCCTCGGGGACAGGCAGCTTTTTGAGGGCTGCCATCTAGCCGAGATAGTAGCCTTTGTTGCAGGCCATGTTGAATTATTTTCGCACATTGGCCTGCCCCTCAAAGTAGGCCTTGGCATCTGCTCCTTGCTGGTTAGTGGCTCTGCTAGTTTATTCTCAACTTCGACAACTTTGTTTTCAGTGGCATTGGCAATGGCCTCGGCTTTGGCAGTAGTAACTTGGTCTTCTTGTTTCATGTGCTTCTCTTTCGAGATATTGAATTGCTGGAGGCATGAGCATATTGGATTGACTATAAGGAGATGGAGTGGATTGTACAGTTATGACATCAGGGATGTCAGCAAAGAAAGTCTTCTACGACAAGTGGTCGGCGAGACATGTTATCATTGGTTACGGCGATGGTTACTCATTAGCATGCAACATATATGGCGATTGAAGGTTTGTCAAGGTCGTAGGCTAGAAGCTTAGGACCTTGGCGTTTCCTGCTCCTAATCCTGGCAGTAGGATTGTCGCTATGTCGGTGTTTGCATTGACATTGAGATGGTGGGCTAATGCGTAGAGCAATTGATGAATTGCTTGGTTGCTAGTCTGGTTCAGCTGGTAGAGTTTGAACCTTGGGCACGAATGGAGTATTCATAGTAATGAATGCTTCAAGAACAATGATGATGGTTTGCAGAGGCCAAAAGAAAGAGAGTCTAAAGGCACAAGTAGAGACGAAATGAGAAAATGAAAAGGTTTTGCTAGAATTGGAAAAAGATGGCAAAAAGTTATAATTTCGATTCTTGACGTGCCCGCGCTAACATCAGGCGGCGGCAGGTAGAACTGATGCGACACGATGGGAACGTGATTGGTATGCTCCAATCTGATGATGATCTTGATTGAGAAGTGCGATCTCAGTTGAGATATTGATCTCAGTTGATATGACGATCTTGGTTGACATGATGATTTCAGTTGAGATGTTGATCTTGGTTGAAATGTTGATCTCGGTTGAGATGTTGAAATTGGATGGGGGCAAAACTTGTTTGTTCTTGGTTCCTGATGAGTTGATACTAGGATCTTGATGTTAGCAAGTTGTGATCTCTACTAGTAGTGCGATCTCTGTCGAGATGATGGATCTGGATGAGATAGAACATGATGGTTCTTGGTTATTGATTCTTGATTCTTGACGAGTGGACGTTTGAGTCCTTGTTTCTTTACGTCGGCGAGTCATGATTTTGGTCGGAAGAGTATTTCTAACATATTGTTTAGCCAACATGTTGAAAGATGAAACGATGTAGGTTCCATCACATCAGGTTGCCGAAGTAATAGAACCTGGGGGGCAGTTGTGGGGACATATTTTTTGGGTAGTCCACATGGTCGAGGTGCTGCGTAGGTGGACCATGGTGCCGAGATATGGTGCGGTAATACCGGAATCTGAGATATTTGGATAGAGGACTAGAGTCTTAGATGACATCAAACTACCTATTTGGATAGAGATGAGACTCTTAAGGAAGTTCATCTTAATCTGAATAGTGTGAAGTTGTGATAGATGTTATCCTTGTAAATAATAGAGTCCCATGAAGTGAGACTTCTAGGGGAAGTTGGACACTGACCATTATAAAAGTGAGGCACCCTCGTAGGTCTGAGGTAGGCTTTTATTTGTGATCCTTTTACTTGTGAGTTTAAGTACTGTTTTGATATCCATGAGAGATAAGATTTACTAACTTGATTGTCGGAGTGCCCCCTGGTAGACGAACCACCGCGAGAATTCTCTTCTTCTTGTTACAGGTTGTTGGGCTTAATCGATTATGCCGGTACTCTCCAGTTGAGTTCCTCCTTTGGTTGAGTGGTTAGAAATCAACACCCACAGATAGTGATGATGACATGAATGTTGATTTGGAACAGTGACAGTGGACGATGCTTCAAATTTGGACTGACAAAGTTCGAACAACGATGAAGAGATGATGGTGGATGGAAATTGAGGTGGCATCAATAGGTGACAATGTCTTATGTGGAGAAAGAAAAGAGTAGAGAGAGAATTGTGGAAAATGTATTTTTTGTTTTGTTTTGTTTTTTTTTTTTTTTTCTGGAAAAAGAATTTTAAGGTTATTCTTAACCATTCATGTTAAAAAAAAATTATTGTGTTTTTAAGATTTGAATTTCAAAAATTTGACTAGCAATCAAACGGTAACAGAATGTATCTTTAATTTTCTCAATTTTTATTTCAACTTATAAATTTTTTTTTCTTTCTTTTTTACATTCAATTTTTCGCCCTTGCTCCAATTGTCATTTCTACAACGCATCATTCGTGTGCACAATGGGAGTTTTTATTTGCACACTATTTTTTTTAGATTAATTACGTCAAAATTCTTTTAATTTTTAACAAATATTATTTTGTCTTTTTATTTATAAATTCGTATATATCGACTCTTTCAATTATAAAAATTATACAAATATGCATATTTTTAAGAGATAGTCTAGAAGAGTTTTGCAAGAATCAAAGGGATATACTTTTATAATTGAAAGAGTTAAAATGAAAGGATTCATAGACTAAGATAGTAAAGTAATATTTATTAATAATTAATGTGTTTTTAGTATTCTTTTCTTAATTCATACCATTTTATTTGTTCAAATATCAATTGTTGAACAAAAATTAATTATATAAATATCTGAACAAAAATTAAGTAAATTGTTATTTCTATTCCACTTTACTAATACACTTTCTTTTTTATCCTTATTATGCATAATTCCATGAATTTGTATTTTTTTTTTGAATTTTTTTTTTTTTTTGTTGCCATCATTAGCATGTAATAATTTCAATTAATATACAATTTAATGCACCTTATCTAGTGTCTCAGACACTTGTTAGCATGAGGCATTTTTTATACGGTGGTACTATATATATCAATTAATGTATTAGTTAGTGTATCAACACTAGTTCTAATATTATTATTGACCTCGTTTATTATACAAATTATAAATATTAATTTTTTTTAATTATATCACATCATCAATTGATACACTAATTAATATATTAATTGATACATATATCATTATTTTTTTTTATATAGTTGGATAATTGATCTAATATTTTATATAATTGTCTATTAAAATAGAAAGAAAATTAAAATTTTAATATTTAAATTTATAAGACGACTGCGACCCTTTCATTTAACGTGCTACCGTATGAAGAAAAAAAATTAAGCCTCTGTTTGGGAAGTGGGTTGGCTTTTTGATTTTTTTGATTATTTTAGTCTGGGCTAAAAAACTTAGTTTAAGAAGGACTTTTTGGTTTTTGACTTTTTTTATGATAAAAGAGTGTAATGATTATAGGTTGGATGTGATATTTTGTTTATTATGGATAAAATAGTCTATTTTATCTTTTGTGACTAAAATAGCCCCAAACTTTCTTGCCAAACGGATAAATTACAAGAATAATGCTTGGGACCCCCTTTTGGGGGTCACCCCCTCACCCCCTTTGCCACGTGCCCGGTGGTGATTGGAGAAGCAGGAGAAAAAAGAAAAAGAAAAAGAAAATGAAACCAATGAGAGAGAGGGGTCAAAGGGGGTGGGGGAAAAAGGGGGATGAATCATTGTTGAAATTACAAATGTATGTATTTGTAATTTATTTTATAAAAATAAAAAAGAAAAAAGGAAAGAAAAAGACGCTCCCGTGTGTAGGCTTTTCCAGAATGTTCATGTGTGTTTGGACGATTGCATTAGCGGTGGTGGTGTGAGCAGTGAGCACATCATTATCCGAGTCAAACCCCCATAAAAAAATACCATATAAACTGCCTTGGGAAGAAAGAAAAATTAAAATAATATTATATGTAATAATTAATATATTAATTGTTGATATAATATAATTAAAAAAAATTTTAGTATTTGTGATGTGATTAATAAATAAAATCAATAATAATATTCAATGTGTTTAGTTTAAGTTTTTTGGATTAAATTTTTTAAAAATTGAGTTTTTTTATTTTCGTATTTTTTTATTTTTAGTAAATATTTTTAAAATATTAAACATTTTTTTTACTTTTTTAGATGCACATTACTTAGATGTATTTAAAAAGTAAAAAATTTGTGAAAAAATATTTTAAAAAATTAATAAATCATAAAAATACAAAAAAATACTAAATTATGGTATTTTTTTATATTTTTGGTATTTTGTGAACTTTTAAAAGGTTTTTTTCACATTTTTTTTTTACTTTTTAGGTATATTTAAGTTAGGTATGTCTAAAAAGTAAAAAAAATTACTTAAAATATTAAAAAAATTCAGTAAAAACAAAAAAAAATACGAAAAATAAGAAAATAAAATTTTCTAAAAAATATTTTTGTAAAAGAGGAACCAAGCAAAGTGATTAAAATTAGGCCAAGTTTGGGAAGTCTCAAAAAAGCTAAAAAATTAAAAAGTTACTCAAAAAGTTAAAAAGTTATTACTATTCACCAAAAGTCAACAATTACGGCTGCACAACTCCCAATACTAATTTTCCCCTACACATTAATTTATATAATTTTTTAATACACATTTTTCTATAAAAAGTCAAAAAGTTAACACAAATATTCATATTTTCAACCTCAACTTTTAATCTAAAAAGACAAAAAGTACACTTATTTAAGACATTCCAAACAACCCCTCAGTATTATCACACTAATTAATACATGAAATACCACTAAAAAAATATTAGGATACTAGCAACCACCTCATTTACAGCACCCAAAAAAAAAAAAAAAAAAAAAAAAAACGTCTATATATATTTATTGACCCAATTTACAATCGAGGAGTTAAAGGAATCACAACGCTTCGCTAAATACTAAAAGTCAATCGAAATCAAAGAAACGTTTGGATCGAAAATCGGAAAAGATGGCCGGAGTTGAATTGCTTCCGAGAGAATTCGGATACGTTGTTCTCACAATCGTTCTCTACTGCTTCCTCAATTTCTGGATGGCTGGCCAAGTCGGCAAAGCCCGCAAGAAGTTCGTAATTCTTAAACCTTTTTCTTCAAATCACAGTTTAATCAAATAGTTTGTAATTGTGAGTTTTTGTTTTTGTTTTTTTTGGTTTGATTTACAGGTACAAGGTGTTTTATCCGGTCATGTATGCTTTGGAATCTGATAACAAGGATGCCAAGATCTTCAATTGCGTTCAGGTTTTGCATTTTTCTCTTCAATTTTTGACTCAGATATTTTAGAATATGATTTGATTGATGGAAATGATGAATGATTTGAGCAGAGAGGGCACCAGAACTCGCTGGAGATGATGCCTCTGTTCTTCGCGTTGATGATTCTGGGAGGAATTAGGCATCCCCTCATTTGCACTGCGCTCGGATTGGTTTATGTCGTCGCTCGCTACTTCTATTTCACCGGCTACGCCACCGGCAATCCCGAAAACCGCATTACCATTGGGTAATTAACTATTCATCAGCTCCCTATTTTCCACCTAATGCTATGAATTTTGTGATTTTTTCATTTTAAATCAAAGCACATGTTAATTCTATGTACAAGTTTAGGTATGTGTATCAATTTTCTTTTTAGGACTGTTCTAGTCTGCAAATAGAGATGTGAATGATAGAATCAAAATTTTGCATTGAAGTTCAAAAAGTAGATCATATTCATATGCCATATATCAAAACTCTTTTGGTTGGATCATTTAATTTAGACTGTTTGATGTGACCAAAAAGTAGATCATCACATGCCAAATGTCAAAACTCTCTTGGTTGGATAATTCAATTTATACTGTGTGATGCTGCTATGCTTGGATCATTCAATTTTGATTTGATGATACCAGACTAGATACTCTAATTCTCATCTTGCTTGTTCTCTTATCCCAAAAACACTTCTCTAATGATTCATCATTGAATTTATATGGTTTAATACTACGTTGTTTGGAATTTTGGATCTTTCAATTTATAATGTTTTATAGAGATTGTATCTTCTGTCCCCATCTGTCCTCTTGTTCCAAATACGTCGATGAGGCCTAGAGAGACTCATCTTATGTAGAAAGGTGGTATGGGATAGGGATTAAGGAGGATGGGGACTGAGCAACCCTTGAGCTGTTTGATATGAACATGTGATCTAATGGTTGTCTTTTTGCTAAGAAAATCATAAAAAGGTGTATGAAACTTTTTTATGCCCTAATGAATTATCCTGTTTTTTTGAAATTCTATGTTGGCAGTGTGCCGAACAAATAGGGTTAAATGAATGTATGCCTCTAAAATCAAGAAAATGATGGACCAAATATAAATTATCATTGAATTAGGCACACGGACACGTGTTGTTTCGGACCTACTACATAATTTTTGCCTAAATAGACTAATCAAGTGAAGAATTCATGACAAGAATCGTTTTAGTTGTTATAGATTTGAATGAATTTTTTGTTTGGTTGCAGAAAATACGGTTTCTTAGCATTATTTGGGCTTATGATCTGTGCAATTTCATGCGGGATTAATCTTCTCATTGCGTAAAGAGCGCCTGCAGCTTCAGCAGTTTGTCCTTGCCTTGCATCCTCAGTCACCTTTGTTTTTTGTTTTTGGTTTTTCTACAGCTTTCATGCTTTGTGTATTTTGGTTTTTCTGTTAAAGTTGAGTAGGCTTTACGCAAGATGTTGCCACTTTGTGTAGGTTGTGTTTTACTATTAATAATGTGAGAACATGGATGTTTTGGACGTGAGTTGAAAAGAATTACAGAATTTACTAAATTTGAATGACAATCCTCTCCTTTTAAATTGATTTATATTTCTCAGTTATGGTTTGTTCACCCCAAAGGTGGGGAATTTTGAATTCAAAAAAGTCAAACTTAGTGGTTGTGTGTGAACCCAATAGACGAGGGGATCTGGGGTTATTGCTGTGTGTTGTGAGCCTTCTAGTATTATTCTAAAATTTATTGAACATATATTATTCATGTAAAAAAATTAGGTTAGTCAAATATCTCTAATTTCATGATGGAATTTGAATTTGGGTTACAAATATATAATTCTGATTTTTTCATGAATGATTTACTTGATTAATTTTATAATAAGAATAATTTCAATCATCAAAATAAATTTGGGATAAGTCTCCATAGACCACACAGTATTGTTGTGCCATACTCACAATAGTACCCCGTATCCGTTGAGGAGTTTGTAACAAAAATAATAATACTTTTCCCCCCGCCCTATGGGACCTTCACCTTTAAGTTTATTGTGTAGATGATTTACAAATTTGTTTTTAAAACATGAATAATCATAATTATATAATTTGATTGTAACAAAAATCAAAAGGGCTACATGGTTGACTTGAAAATGTGAGCAAATGTTATCAATGATTTTATTAGCAAGCAAGCACTAAAGTTACAGTTGATTGCGCCCACTAATGGAGGATAAGAGGTGAGGCTGTAGTTTGGCCTATTTTAAAAATATTTCGTTATTTGATTGTAGAATAAATAAGGGAGGAGAGACAAAGAATGGGAATAGTTTGGCCTTTCATATTTTTTTTTTCATTGAATGAAGAAAAAAAAAATAAAGATAAAAGACAAAAAAATTATGTGAAAATCACAAAAAATATTTAATATTACATTACAACAATTAATAAGCGTCGCTTGATTTTCGCTCTTTTTTCATTTTTAGAAGCAAATAAATTAATCATACTTGCATAATCTAGTTTTTTTACAAAATTATTTTCAATGGATAATAATGCTAATTATTTTAAATGGATCTTTTAATTTTTTAAAGGATCAATTTATTTTAAGTTAGTTTAAGTCTTTCTTAATTTTTTTTTGATTTAAAATATACCTAATATATTACAATAAATTATAATAGGAGGGCCCTTTTTTGAGTTTATTTTCAATTGATAACAATGTTAATTTTTTTTGAATGGGCCTTTCAATTTTTTAATGGGTCAATTTATTTTAAGTTAGTTTGGGTCTTCTTTAATTTTTTTTTTAAACTTAAAACATATCTAATATATTATACTAAATCATAATAGAATGAGGCCTTTTTTTGAGTCTATTTTGAGGGGTCCTAGACCATGGCCTTGTTGGCCATGCCCAGGGCCGGCACTGTCAGTATAAGGACGAAATAGTTAGATCTCATATGTTTTTTAGTCAGTATAAAGAGGGAATAGTTAGATCTCATATGTTTTTTAGTCCGCTATTTATTTATCACGGTTTTCATTATTTGATTGCAAAATAAAAATGAGATAAGGAATGGGGCATTATTTGGTTTTCACATGTTATTTAGTTCGACAATGCTACGTAGCTTAAATTTTGTGGCTCAAAAGTGGCTCAAATGGCCAAAACAACGTCGTTTTGAGTACAGAACAACATAAAAATGGCCAAAACGACGTCGTTTATAGACGAGGGGATCTGGGGTTATTGCTGTGTGTTGTGAGCCTTCTAGTATTATTCTAAAATTTATTGAACATATATTATTCATGTAAAAAAATTAGGTTAGTCAAATATCTCTAATTTCATGATGGAATTTGAATTTGGGTTACAAATATATAATTCTGATTTTTTCATGAATGATTTACTTGATTAATTTTATAATAAGAATAATTTCAATCATCAAAATAAATTTGGGATAAGTCTCCATAGACCACACAGTATTGTTGTGCCATACTCACAATAGTACCCCGTATCCGTTGAGGAGTTTGTAACAAAAATAATAATACTTTTCCCCCCGCCCTATGGGACCTTCACCTTTAAGTTTATTGTGTAGATGATTTACAAATTTGTTTTTAAAACATGAATAATCATAATTATATAATTTGATTGTAACAAAAATCAAAAGGGCTACATGGTTGACTTGAAAATGTGAGCAAATGTTATCAATGATTTTATTAGCAAGCAAGCACTAAAGTTACAGTTGATTGCGCCCACTAATGGAGGATAAGAGGTGAGGCGGTAGTTTGGCCTATTTTAAAAATATTTCGTTATTTGATTGTAGAATAAATGAGGGAGGAGAGACAAAGAATGGGAATAGTTTGGCCTTTCATATTTTTTTTTTCATTGAATGAAGGAAAAAAAAAATGAAAATAAAAGACAAAAAAATTGTGTCAAAATCACAAAAAATACTTAATATTACATTACAACAATTAATAAGTGTCGCTTGATCTTCGCTCTTCTTTCATTTTTAGAAGCAAATAAATTAATCATACTTGCATAATCTAGTGTTTTTGCAAAATTATTTTCAATGGATAACAATGCTAATTATTTTAAATGGATCTTTTAATTTTTTAATGGATCAATTTATTTTAAGTTAGTTTAGGTCTTCCTTAATTTTTTTTTTTGATTTAAAATATACCTAATATATTACAATAAACTATAATAGGAGGACCCTTTTTTGAGTTTATTTTCAATTGATAACAATGTTAATTTTTTTTTTGAATGGGCCTTTCAATTTTTTAATGGGTCAATTTATTTTAAGTTAGTTTGGATCTTCTTTAATTTTTTTTTAAACTTAAAACATATCTAATATATTATACTAAATCATAATAGAATGAGTCCTTTTTTTGAGTCTATTTTGAGGGGTCCTTGACCATGGCCTTGTTGGCCCTGCCCAGGGCCGGCACTGTCAGTATAAGGAAGGAATAGTTAGATCTCATATGTTTTTTAGTCAGTATAAAGAGGGAATAGTTAGATCTCATATGTTTTTTAGTCCGCTATTTATTTATCACAGTTTTCATTATTTGATTGCAAAATAAAAATGAGATAAGGAATGGGGCATTATTGGTTTTCACATGTTATTTAGTTCCTTGTTTGTTTACAATGGTTTATGTTGTTTGATTGTGTGATAATGAGAGAGGATAAAGGATGTGAAATAGTCAGGTCTCATATATATTTTAATTACGCTATTTGTTTACCAAATAACTTTAATACTAATATGGGGATTAAATGTGAAAAAAAATTATGGATTAAACAATTTGAATTGAATTGTGATATTAGTAGGATTTTGCATTTTTAGATTATTTTTCCCATCAATCTAGCTCTTAAAAATAATTATTTCTTTTCATCACATCATAATTAAACAAATATCTTACTCATTCTATCTAATCTTTTTAATTTATCTCTATAATTATATCATATATTTAATCATTCATCACATCTAATTTCATCAGATAATTTACCACTCATAATTCTATCAATAATCTCTTCCTATCTAAAATCATAAAAAATAGTCCAACAATTGTTGGTAGTTTGCTTTTTTGATGGGTTTGCTGTTATTTTGTTTTCATATTTAGTATTTTTTTTAATAAAATATTTCAAAAATCTTTAGGTTTCTAGATCTTATTTAATGAGGAGAATTGAAAAAATTTTAAAAAGACAAAATAAATAAAAAATAGTGATTTTTTTGGGCTTATTTTACCTTTTTATTTTTTTTGAATTTAAAAAAAAATGACTTTTAAGATTTGTTTACATAAGCCAGGCCTAGAAAGTAAAATATTTTAACATAATTTTAGAAAAAGATCACTACAAATAAAATGTTCAAAAAAAGAAAGGACTTATTTAAGTTATCCCAAAAAGCTAACACCAGTTAAAATAAAATGTAATTTTATAAAAAAATATACAATTATTTTAAATCCATTAACAAATGTTTTTTTGAGTTAATTATCTAAAAGTCCTATTTATAAATGTTATGATAGCTCAAGTCTTATTTAAGATTTTTTGAACCAATAATTTATTTAATCAAACTGAGAATATTATCATTTTTTTTTAATTTTAAAACTAAGAACATTATAAATTTTGCATAGTAATGTTCCAGATAATTATTTCACTAACTGATAAAAAAATAGAGCATGAGATTTAAACGTTTTTGCCCTTCTACTTATTGGTTTGATTCAACTATCAAATAAAATCAAGAACATTATCAATTTTTTCAGTTTTAAAATTGAGAATATTATCAATTTTTTTAAAAAGTTTTTTTATTCTATTTTATTTTATTTTATTTTTTCCAGTTTTACACATCATTGTTCCATCATCATACTCTTTTAGACACAAAATTTTCAGTTTTGTACAAAAAAAATTCAAAATTTTCAATTTTTTTAAAAATATATTTATTTATTTGCACATATTTTTTTTTTTTAGTTTTTTCAATTTGAAAATTGATATTTTAAAGTTTTGAAAATCAAAATAAATGTCAAATCATCATGTTTCTTTATAAATTATTATAAATGAAGAACAGTTATTGTTTGAAGGGCAATTCTAATTATTAAAAATTTAATGGGACTTGAAGGTCTAAAAAATCTTAGTTATGATTTAATGCAGTATAAGTTCATAAATTATGACTTTTACGTAAATGGCCCATTTTTTTTTACTTAGTTCTCGTTTAGCAAGACAGTTGGGTCTAATCTAACCCATTAAAAAATAAAATAGACTAAAAAGTTAATAAGAAAGTATTTGAGATGATCTAAATAAGTATTAGGACTGAGCAAGAAATTCGTATAATCTATAATCCAATTCGGTCTAGTCCAATCCAGTAGGTTTGGATTGATTTTTTAAATCCGTGGTTTGGTTCCGGATTGAAAATTTAAAAATCTGTAGGCCACGGATCAGTTCCGAATTGAACCCCATGGTTCTAGATTGGAACCAATCCAGACTATATATAAATAGTCTATATTTATACTATAGACCCTCCCACATAATATCATTTCTTATTTTATATAAAAGCTAAACCAATTTTCTTATTACTTTTGTTTGATGTTATGTTTAGTTTTAATACAGATGAGACCTCTACTTTGTGCAATGTGT